CCTGGTACATGAACTACTTGAATGAACCACCAATGGACTACCCTAAATGTAAACCCCTAAAATTTCTAACCCAAAAGTTTAAGAATCAGTTTGTCTATTCATGTTCCAATCTTCTAGGAACAATTTTTAAATGTCATCGCTTCGGCATGCATTGCGTACCGTTTATTTTTTGTTGTACTGCCTTTACTCTGTGTGCCCTTATGTTAACCATGTGACCTAATGAAATTTGATTGCTCTGGAATTTCATTTGATTACATTTACCAAGTTTATAAGAAAATCTTGGAAATTATCTTACACTTCATTTACAGATGTAAATATGCTTCTACCTTGACTGAAGCTAATAGTTCCACAGAATTATTTTCCCCACTGTCTCAATGGTAGTAGCTTTTGTGTGCTCATTATGGAGTTAGTTAGAAAGTTCACTCCCACCCTTATGATTTGTTTTTGTAGGGTTCTTTCCCTCACTATGGTGAAGTGAATGAAGACTATGTGATGGTTAAAGGTTGTGTTGTGGGCAAAGTAAAGCGTGTTCTCACTCTACGCAAGGTAAGGCTACTGTTTTTGGTGCGGAATTGATCTTAGTATTTTTGTTAATTTAAGTCTTTAATGTCCTACAAGATCTTAAAGGGCCCTAGTCAGCCACACCTTTGTTTTTGTTTACATGGGAGAGTTTGGCTATTATAGTTTATTCAGAACATGTCCAAACGAAGGAAATCACTGTGAAACTACTAAAGATAATTAAGCATGCTTTCAGGAACACAACTTATAGTAAAGCAAAGAGATTTTGTTTCACCATGCAATGTCAATCATTTTGATGGCGTCAAATGGTGGAGGCTCACTAGGGTCCTTCAAGCTTTTTTCAACTCCTGTTGATTAAAATTTTTGTTCTCCCGCAGTCCTTACTTGTCCAGACCAAGCGTGCTGCCTTGGAAAAGATTGAACTCAAATTCATTGACACCTCATCCAAGTTTGGCCATGGACGCTTCCAGCATCCCGCTGAGAAGAGAGCTTTCATGGGTCTGCTTAAAAAGGAACGAGAGAGGGAGCTAACTGCTGGTGCAGAGTAAACTTGTGAATGAGCTCATTAAAATCATGTTGAATTCAGTGAAAAATTGTCCATTTGTAACTTATTTCAAAGTGCTAAACCTGATTGCACACTTGTGGACAAGGGTGATTGTCTAGATTGTACCCTTCTACTGGAGTACCACCACAAATAATGAAATGTCGCAAAATTCTGGCAGTAAGACCTCTCCCTCCTGCCCCCCTCAACCCTGGTAAGGTAAGGTAAAGTCTGCATACGAGTCAAGTGGCCCATCAGGCCAGAGCTTATCCCGGTTTCTGTAGCATGAAGCAACTAGGAGTATTTCTACT